CAGTTGAGTTTAGTTCACACAGTTTATAATACATTACCTTGGATTATCATAAACCGCTTTGGATACACGTTATAATGGCTACATATCCATCTAGAGATGAACCTACATCTACGGATCTAGATTAAAAACTTGAATTAGAAACAAAAGATGTGGAAAAATGTCATTTTAAAACAATTCGCCTAGGATCTACCTCAAACCAACCCTTTTTGGTGTAGTCGGAATGGAAGAGCTTGCTGTCAAGCTGAGCTCTCGCACAAGTCTGAAGAAAAAACAAAAGCATTAGCTAAAGGAAATGAAAAGACAAGAGTTAATAGTCATCACCATGCCACAAAGACTAAAGAGCTTTTTGTAATAAGATTCATGCTTGAAGGGAGAAGGGACTTCTGAAGTGACTTCTGCATTCTGTTCTTGAACCCTCCCCCATTGAATAACTGCATGGTTCAATACCTCCATGGTAAGTTGTCCATGGCTGGACACAATGCCTTAATGCAAAACAAAAAAAAGTTAGTATATATTCACCTCCATGACAAGTTGTATTCAATTAATGATTCTCCAAAATTATTCTTCTTACCAGCAAAATTCGTATTTGCAACCACCATCTCGGTGGATCGGTTTTGTACAATTTGGACAGACCCTTACATTGAGTTTTTTTTTTCCTGCAATTAACAAAGTTTATTATTAACAAACTGCATAATTAACTACGATTCACTGAATTTAAAAAGGCTAAAATTTGCATATTACCACTCGTTGGATTCTTCATCGTTGGCATAGTTGAGCCATTTCGGGACAAAACTACATTCCAAATGATAGTGCCCTTCCAAATTGCACTAATAACAACACAAAGACAGAGTCAAGTCAGAACATTAACAAGACAGACAAACTGAAGTTTGGAAAAACTCAGAACAGATGTACTTACCTCCCAACAAAATCTATGCAAAGCAAAGCATTCAACGTCAATGATATTACAATCTTTCAGAGTTATCGCACAGGCTGTGACCATTTTATATTTTGCATTATCATCAGCATATGACCGAATTGCAAATTTCATATATTTTACAAATTCGGACACTGCTTTTATGAGTGTGGACCTTTGACAAATCGGGATCTGGACACGTAGAGTCTAATATTGCTCTTCCATCTCGTATAGAGACTGAAACATTCCCTGAGGGTTAAAAAGACAGATTACAATCAGAAGCCATGGTTTTTCTTCACCAACAATTGTGTTTGCATCTACACTTATTTATACGACCAAACCGTTGATGACTTTTATCAAAGACAAATACAAGAAATTGACTAGAGGTTTTTGTTTGGGCCTAATATATAGGCCCATTGCAGTCCATTTTTTTTAGACTCTGAAACAAGTCACGTGTAGCTATCACGTGA